AGCGGCCACTGCACTCCAGTCTGGGCGACAGAGTGAGACTCCAACTCAAAAATATATATACGTGTATATATATACACGTATATATATTTTGTAGAGATGGAGTCTCACTCTGTCGCCCAGTCTGGTCACAATTTACTCCCCTTTTAATGGATGCCTTGGTTGTTTCCACATTTTTGTTATTTGAGCATTGCTGTCATGAGCATCATAGTATACCTATCGTGACAAACTTTTGGAAGAAAATCTTAATTTTTATTTTTCTTGAGTTGGAGTCTCACTCTGTCTCCCAGGCTCGAGAGTATAGGGGCATGCTCACGGTCACCGCAGGCTCAACCTGCTGGACTTAGGCGATCCTTCTACCTCAGCCTTCCAAGTAGCTGGAACTCAGATGCAGGCCACCATGCTTTGCTAGTTTTTTTGTGATTTATTGTAGAGACAAGGTCTTACCAAGTTGCCCAGGCTGGGTTCATACTCCTGGGCTCAGTCAGTCGTCTTGCCTCCACCTTCCAAAGTGATGGGATTACAGGTGTGAGCCACTGTACCCAGCGAGAAAATCTTTAAGGTAAATTTTTAGTGTTAGGATTGCTGAATCTAATAGTATGTATATTATAAATCTTATTAAATCCTGCCAAACTGCTTTTTAGAAAGGTTTTACCACTTTGCTCCTTGCCAGTAGGTTCTGTGGGTACCTGTTTACTTACACCCTTCTGTCAGGATGAGTCATACATGTTTTTCCTGTCCATTAGGTAAAAAACTGGTATGTCAGCCAGGTGTGGTGGCTCACGCCTGTAATCCTAGCACTTTGAGAGGTGGAGACAAGGGAATTGCCTGAGCCCAGGGGCTCGAGATCAGCCTGGATAACCTGGCAAGCCTTCATCTCTATAGTAAATTAAAAAATTAGCTGGGCATGATGGCATGTGTCTGTAGTTCCCAGCTGTTTGGAAGGCTGAGATGAAAGGATGGCCTGAATCCAGCAGGTTGAGGCTTAGGTAGCCATGAGTCTGTCATTGCACTCCAGCCTGGGCAACAGAATGAGACTCCAACTCCAAAAAAAAAAAAA